CGGCACAAGTGAGTGCTGCAGAACGCAGTTGTGGGACGCACGGGCATTCAGAGCTGCATCTGCCCGCACCTCTTCCTCTGTCTGCAAGGCTGCAGGCCTTTCTTGTCAGCACGAATCTCATGAATGGCTTCCTTTTCACTCCGGACACATCTTGTCATGGCACAGAGGCTCTTCACCACCTGGTCCCTATCCACCTCTTCTGGATCCTCTCCCACATTCCCCACACATATCCTCAATTTCAACTCCACAGAAGTGCAGGCAGTTTCGAGAGCACAACACCGCTCCTTTCAAGTGAGGTTCTCAGCTGCTGGCCTCTCCTCAGCAATCTGGCCTGTGCAGTTGCCCTTTCTCTAATCCGCAGCTCAGAGATCTTGGCTACTCTGAAAGCTCTTGAGGCCCCCTCTGGCTCCCCATCCCTGAGGCTGGGCCAGATGCCCCTCCTGGAGAGGATCTGGGCTATCCTAAGCCACACCCATCTCCCTGTGTGAGGTTCATGCTGGGCCTCTTAAAATCCACAAAACATCTCCCTCCTCTATGAAGCTCTGCCTGGCCAGGACCGGGCTGCATCCTGCCAGTCAGACACCCTCAGAGGCTGGGAAACCCCAGCCCTTCAGGAGAGGTCTGGTGAATGGACTCACCACTTCGTAACCAAAGAAAAGCACAAAGCCAGGACCGAAGCATGCTTTGTTGGACCCCCTTCTCCCAGTGTGTTTTCTTCACAGTTTTCCAACTTGTACAACCATAAAATAGCTTTGGCACCACAGTCACATTACACAAATGAAAACACGATGGAGCGCAGTGATGTTTCCGGAGCTCTGAGGGAAGCAGATCAGGCAGAAGAGGCAGGAAGGAGGCGGGAGGGAATTCGGGGAGCTGGAGCCAGGCCCCTGTAGAGGTGGCTGGGCCTCAGACTCTGCCCGTCTGTGGGTGGAAAAACAATCGCTCCCCTTGGACAGAAAGCACAGGACTGCGTCCCAGAGATGAAGGTGCCAGACGGAGCCTACTCAACGGAATGCGCCATTCCACCAATTGGCAGGGAAATGAGAGACACAGAATCAGCAGAAGGAGACCTAGCATCTTCTCAGCTCTGCTCTCCTCCTAGCTCTGCTCTTAATTCCCCTCTTGCCTGGGCCTCAGATTCCTCTTAAACCAGTGGCTCTCAAGATTTTGGGCTGTGACTCACAGTAAGAAATACAATGGACATCACAACCCAATGTAGACACACATACAGTACACACATGGAACTTAAGTTTTACTTATGCTTACCTTTACTACCTGGTATTTTCTATTCTTTTATGTTCATTTATAAATTGTGACTTGTAAATTCATTTTATAAATTTTTATTGAAGCATGATGTAAGAGAGCAGTGTGTACCCGTCATAAATGACGAGCCAGATAAATACTCACAATCAAAAACACCCACGTAGCCAGCCCTCAGATCAAGAGATGGAGCATTACCAGGACCTTGAAAACCCCCTCTTGCCTTTTCCCCTTTACCAACTCCTCCCCCAAGGGTAACCACTGTCCTGAGTTCCAATAGCCCAGATTAGTTTTGTCTGTTTTTGTACTTTATAGAGATGCAGAAAAGGTTCTTTTTTTTTTTTTTTTAAGATTTTATTTATTTGAGAGAGAGAGCATGAGAGGGAGGAGGGTCAGAGGGAGAAGCAGACTCCCCGCTAAGCAGGGAGCCCGATGCGGGACTCGATCCCGGGACTCCAGGATCATGACCTGAGCCGAAGGCAGTCGCTTAACCAACTGAGCCACCCAGTCGCCCCGCAGAAAAGGTTCTTAATGCCTGCCTTTTTCTTTCCACATTATGTGTGGGAGGGTCATGGATGCTGCTGTGTACAATATTCCATTGTGTGGATACTCCACAGTTTATCCATTCCACTGGCCACGTTTTGTGGTGGACATGAGTGTGCATGCCCCGTGGCTGTGTACCCAGGAATGGAAGCACTGGTATGGAGATGTTCAGCTTTGATACTGCCTCTTTTCCAAAGTCACTATACTAAATTACACGTCAACCAGCCATGTAAAGTTCTAGTTGCTTCACATCTTTGCAACACTTGGTATTATGTATCTTCCTCATTTTAGTCATTCTTGTGCATTTACTGTAGTTGGTCACTGTGGGCCTCATTTGCAATTCTCTGAGAACTGATCATGTGTTCACATGCTTATTGGCTACTTGGATATCTCTGTTTGAGTCGTCTGCCTTTGTTCTATTAGGTTGCCTTTTCCTCACTGATTTGTAGGAGTTTCTTCTTTTTTCCCACTATAACTATTTTGGATACAAGAGCTTTGTTGAATATATATAAAGTACATATCTTCACTCACTCTATGGGTTACTGGGTTACTCTGTTTCATTTTAATACATGACAGTCTTGAACCACCAAATTAATTGCATGACCCACTAATGGGCCAGACAACATACAATTTGAAAAACCCCACAAAAGAGGACTATGCGGTCTTCCCTGGGTCTGGATACCCCCGAAAGGGGCACCTCTGACCAGTGGCACCCACGACAGCATCAGGCTGAAGCAGCACCCATGTGTGCAAGGTCGGTAGCTGTCTGGAGAACAAAAGCCATGTTGGCTATATTTAATTTCCAAGTTAAAGGAAAAATCCTTGTTCCAAGCCTTATAGGAGAACACAGTTCTCAGTTCTGAATTTAAGATTTGCCAGCCCCAAAACCAGGTGGAGGAAGGGGGCTCAGAAGGATGGCCGAGGTGTGGGACACCTCTGGAATTAGCCTTTCTGGGAGGGCTAGAGGGTGTGTTCCCCCATGTGGGCTCTCCATCCACTGACGGGCCTAGGACCTTGGGGGAGTGGCCTGGGGCCTTGGGGGAGTGGCCTGGGACCTTGGGGGTGTGGCCCTGTGGAATCCAAGATACCTCAGGAAGTTCCTTTAATCCAACAGGTCAAAATAACTTTCCCTAAACTGATAAACTCCATGAACCCCGGCAGAAGGGCACTCATACATCCTGGGCACTCGCCCAGTGTGAAGGGTAAATTCTACACTGACTCTCATCCCCTCAGAGACCTGTCCACAGACTTCAAGCTCCATGAAGGCAGAGATGGGCACTTTTGTTAAAAGTGGCCAAGGTCACCCAGCTGGGCAGTTACAGAGTGATGCCACAGCCCGAGTTTTCATTCCTATGTTATTCTCCTTCCAGGCAGCTGGTCACTGTGTAGCACGGTGACCACACCTACAGCGTTCAGAGATTCTCTCTCTCTCTCACACACAGCCGCACGCACGAGCAGACACACAGGCACATGTGTGGGGACACACAGACATTTACACGCAGTTATGTTCACATGCTGTTCTACTCAAGAAATCTGTGGGCTGGACTCTACTGGTTCATTCCACACTCTGCTTGTCGGAGTTTTACCCTCTTGATTTCCAAAAGTATTGAAAATCCCAGAATGTATAAGTAATACAAAATATGTGTAGAGCACTTAACAGTTTGTAAAGCCTTTTGAAACTCTGAACACACATCACTGTTTGAGGATTCTCAAGGTTCCCCAGGTCTAGTGGGGGGTCTAAGGACCCTCCTGGGGACAGCAGTCTTTGTTGTCCAAGACCGAGGTGGTGGCAACAGCCAGAGGTTGGCAGAATTGGTGTAGTTCCTCAGACCCACCTTAAAAGTTTCCCTTTTGATGATATATTCCAGAGCAACCAATCCTTCCAATTCCGAGTTTGAATTTCATAAACTTCCCAGAGTTAAGCTTGTGTCCACATGAATATTTACGGGATGTGGACACTTCCCCCCTATCCCTAATCATGCTCACATATTCTGTCCTATTAGAGTTCTTACCACCTCTTGTCCTCCTTCCAGCTAAAAGTAAGTGGCTCCTTCACTACTTATAATATGAATAGGGACTAGCATTTACTGAACACTTCCTACATGCCAGGTAACAACTGCTTTATGTACCTTATCCCAGCACACCTCACACAGATTCTGTGCCACATGCATTAATATCCTTATTTCACAAATGAGGAAATGGATGCTCAGAGAGGACAAGCTTATGGGTTACAAAGTCAGTAAGTGATAGGACTGGGATTGGACCCAGGTCCCACTGATCCCCCAGTCCTGGCCCACTCCAGTGCCTGGGACAGTGAGAAGCAGCCACCTCCTGACTCCAAGTCAACAGAAATATCCATATGGAGGTGGACAACATCTTAGAACCTCTTATCCTACCTTCCTTGTGTTCTCTGAGCTCAGAGAGATGAAGGGACTTTGCTAAGAGCACAGCAAGAACAGAACTAGGCCTGCAACCCAAATCTGGTCTTGGGTTTCTTTCTCTTCAGTTCTCATGGATCTCCCAGGACAAAGGACACTAATTGAGCTCTGTCTGTGTTCTAGGCATGCCTTTTTTTTTTTTTTTTTTTAAGGAGACATTTACAGGATTGGAAAGAAGGAGACCAGGGCAGGAACTGCTCTTGAAACTGGATTATTATTGAAGGAACAAAGAATAAGAAAAGATCTCAAGGTGAAACATTACCTTTGTCTTCAACCATTTTTAGGACTGTCTAGTCAAGAAGGAGAAGAAGGCTTGGCATTGTGAGGAAAAGTGGATTTCAAATCCAGATTATGGAAGAATTCTATAAAAATCTTAAATGTGGGGAAATACCAAGTTCCTCTTCAGTCCCTGGAGGTTTCCAAGCATGGGCCAAATATCTATAATCTCTATCTATCTATCTATCTATCTATCTATCTATCTATCTACCTATCATATATCAAATGGCCCATGGCTCTAAGGCCCTTTCATCTCTAAGATGCCATAAGCTTTTGAAAGGTACTAAAATCTTATAGAGAAGGCAAGCAATAATCTTGTACTCCGTGCTCATTGTTCTTAGGGGAAAAAAGGTATTATAAAATAAGTAGAGATAAAGTCTTCCTATTAACGCATATTTAAGAGGTAGAGAAAAAAATCACCCATAACATTAATTTAGATCATGAATACTCTCTGAAGTGAAAAAAAAAAAAAACACAACTCACTTTTCTTTAAATCTTCTTAAAAGGGTCTAAGAATAGTCCTTCAAATAATCCTTCAAGTATGCAATTTTAATTTGGACACATGGTAATTTCAGTCTACCTGTTGAAAGAGACAAGAGAGAAATCAGTCATTTTTTATGAGGATGCTGTTCTGACAAGCAGCAGAGAAGATTCAGGCAGCTTGGGGAGCAGGGGTGCGGGGTGGGGGGTGGGCAGTGGCCACAGCAGCAGTGGAGGCTTTGGCCCCAGGCCCAAGACTGGTTTTTGAACCCTCAGAGGAAAGGCAACTAAGGTAGTGATCACGGTGCCTGGCACATAGCAAATGCTCAATAAATACTTAATGACTCAATGAGTAAAAGGATACATGAATAAATGAGTGGAATTTATCATTAACCTTTGATGCAGGGGATTTACCCTACAGGCTCATCTCTTCGACTCTTAGGGAGAAACAGAATTTCCAGGCACAGGGCATATTATGGAAAATAGCACACAGAAAGGTTCATGGTATAGTGGAGAGAGAGAGGGCTTTGGAGCCAGCCATGTCTATATTCAAATCCTGTCTTTACCACTTATAACTGTGTAACCCTGGGCTATCTCATTTATTTATGTTTACTATTGTTATTAGATTGGAAACTTAGCCCATTCATTAATTTTCAGCCCTTCTTCTTCCCTAATACAAGCATTTTGAGGTCATAAATTTCCCTTAAGTACTGCCTTGGCTATCTTCCACAGCTTTGATATTTAATATTTCTTTTACCATTCACTTACAAGTATTTTAAAATTTCTACTATCATTTCTTCTTTGCCCTATGAGGGAGTTAGAAGTGCTTTTGTAAATCTTCCTCTCTCTATCTATATATTTTGAACTCACCTTTCTGTTATCGACTTCCAGCTTAATTGTACAGTGCTGGGAGGATGTGAGCTGTAGGATACTGATTCCTTAAAATTTATTGAGATGCATTTTATAGAACCTAGGATGTAGCCAATTGTTGTGAATGTTCCATGTGTGTTTGGAAAGAACGTGTATTCCCCAGTTGTTGGGTGCTATCCCGGGCTAGTTTATTTTTTAACCTTCACACACGCTCATTTCCTTATCTGTAAATGGGTATGCATGCAATCCACGTTGAGTTCACTCCTGTCGTTTAGAATGACATTGACCTAGAGGCTGTGCAGATGAAAATGGAGAGAGCACATGAGAAAGAGAGCTGGATGTACTATTTCTTGCTTATAACACTATTAATAATGATACCCTAGAGTTACAGAGCATTTGAAGTTTCCAAACGATGACCACATCTGCCATTTGGCTTCTTACTCTCGTCAGACCTGTGAGGTGTCCCCCGGGCAGGCGGAGGTGAGGACCAACATAGAGAAGGGACACACACCAGTTGGTGTGGTTACTTGCTCGGTCCTCCACGCCAGCCCCGCGGGATCCCTCCTTGTTTCCTGCCCCCACCCCCCCTCACACTTGCTCAGTGCAATCTCAGATCCACCCTTGTTACCACCCTTCCTGCCCACATCGTTTCTCACCTGCCTGCTCCATTCCAAGGGAGTTATTAAATCCCTACTGTTTTAAAAAGACAACTACAAGAAGTAAGTCCAGACAAGATCTTCTTGGCAGATATGATGCCCAAATGGAGCTGAAGATAAGTGTTGGGTCGTGGGTGCCAGAATATCAGAATCTTGAAGGGGGACACTAGTGTTTAAATCTATCAGATGGAGGCTTGGGTTTAGAAAGGTAGAGAAACACTGTGCTGAGTTCAAATAACCTTCATCCAACAAAGCCTCTCCCATGACCTTGTCCCATCCCACTGCAAGTTCTCTTTCTCCTTCCAGAGAGAATTCCCAAGAGTCATCTAAACTACTACTTCCTCTACCCCACAAATCACCATCTCCAGAATGTACTTAGAATCATAATGATGTTATCACTGCAAATTCCAGACACTTCTCCACCTGTGGGGGCCTCTTCGCATCCTCCACCAGCGGGATCACCATCTCCTCTGGAAACCCTCCTGCTTCCCCTTTTTCCTCTAAGGACCTTCTCTGTCTCTTTTGCTGCTGCTTCTTTCTCTGCCTCATCCTTAAATGTAAGAGTAAAGAGCCCCCTCTTCTCTCCCTCCTTAAATTCTGTGGTTTGAACCACAATTTTCATAATTTAATGAGAGTTGTTTCAATAAAATAAGAACCATAAACTACCATGTATTAAGTGCATATTAAGTGTATGCCAATCACTGTATTAGACGTTACTTTATTGCATTTAATCTTCACAACAACCAACTGAGGAAGGTATTATTCATATTCCTATTTTACAGATGTGAAAGGAGAAGCTAAGAAAAGAAGTGGAATTTGCCCAAGATTCCTCAGCATCACTAGATGCGGGGGCGCTGGGATTCAAACCACCACCTGTCTAATTCAAAGCCTGTGCTCTCCACCTCTACATTTACTCACCCTACCCTCCTCTACCCTGGTCTCTGCCATTTGCCATTCTCCCACCATGTCATGCATTCCACACTTCCATTTTTGCTGCTCTTGAAATGGAAGACCTTTGGGGCGCCTGGGTGGCTCAGTCGTTAAGCGTCTGCCTTCAGCTCAGGTCGTGATCCCAGGGTCCTGGGATCGAGCCCCACATCGGGCTCCCTG